CCTTGTCCCTGGCCAAAGGCAACACCAATAAGTTCCTGAGAGATTGGGGCCAAAGCACCGACACCGCATGAGCGAGGTATCAGAATGGCTAGTCCAATTGATTGCACACTCCCTATCAGGTACTGTATATTTTCTCTCCAGAATGCCCCCGTCCAGAGTCTGACATCTTTCTCGGATAGCTTTTACCGCAGTCCTACATGGGTACTGATACCTACCGCTACAACGATGGGCTTTGATGTCGAACGCAATTAAGGACAACCAGTATGTGTCTGACCCAAACTTTTCCATATATCTTCAAGCGAGAGAACAGAAGCTAAGCAAGGGAGGCATTTTGCATAAGGCAGGATGTCGTCGCGTCAGGTACCACACCATAAACGGATACATGAATCACCGCCATACATCATGTCTTTCTCTCTCTCTCGATTATTCGACCTGGGCTCAAATTGCCAAACACAAGTTGCAATATTTTGTTTCTACACTAGAAGTTTGCTCTGGTCTGATTGTTAGCTCATGGAACCATACAATAATGGCATGCCAGTCTCTGTTGAGATTTTCCTGCGTAGATTGAGACTCACGAGAACCCTAACAAAGAACTAGAGGAAGACTCCTGTGCTACGAGCAAAACCACAGTTTTCTATGTTTCAAGTATCCAATTTTTATTACTCTTGAAGAGGTGGGCTCCTTGACGATGGCCGCTAATGACAGGAGCACTCCGTGCGTTTCCTGTTTCTCAATAGGTATAAAAGACCTTCAATGCCGAATTGCATGACTATCTTCACACTCACTCACCATTTGAGCCTGAGAATTTTGTCTAACCAGCTAGAAACTATCACCACACGCAAATCCACCATAAGATGTCGAATGCAATTGACCCCGACCGCCCAGTGGCCGAGGCCATCGCCGGCCACGTATCCTCCGTGCTCGACCGCGCCAGCATTCATCATATTCTCTGGGGTCAACTGGCATTTGTTGTCTACGGTGCGAAGTTCTCCTGCAACAACATTGACTTCGTTGTGCAAGAAGCTGACATGACCCGGGCAGTCAACAACCTACTCACCGCGGACTTTGTGCCCGTGACGGACAATGCTCGCTGCAGCTACTATCGGATCCCCGCGGAGTCGCACCGCGAGAAGGTCTTCCACATCGACACTGCCAACATCAATGGGGAGCGGACCCACTTCGACGTGCGCTTGTACCCCATGCACTGGGCGCTCCCCGGCAATCGCGAGATCGGCTACCGTGCCATCTTCGACCACCTGGCGCAGCGCGATCTGATCCTGGCCACGGATGAACGGCTTCCGGGAGCCTTCCGGCACGAGCGGTACCCCGTGCGCATGCTCGCCCCCGTCCATTACCTCCAGTCGATGCTCGCGCGGTATCTGACTATGGCCTGGGGGCGGATGCTCATCCGGCAGTTCGGGGCGGAGTGTATCGAGCCCCTCCTCGTGGAAGAATTCACGGAGGAGGGCTTCGATGCCACCCTGATGCATTCCGCTTACGAGATGTTGTATAGCGCCATCATGACGATAGACGATGAGGATGAACTGAAGCCGGTGGTCATGCAGGTTCGGGCGGAGTTTTGGCCCGAATCGTGATTGAGTTGTCTTTTAGACAAAGCCAATTGAGGATTCTTCCAAATATCATCGGTTTGTTCTTATGCAGGTCGCGATACTATTCACCTGAGTGAGATACCACTGTAAGCGGTTGGACGCGCGACAGTGTATGCTTACTGGATGCCGAGTTCCAACCATCCTGTCGCCCCTGTCGGCCACTGGAGGCATGAGAGCTCAATAGTGTCTAATGTCTCCTGAGAGATAAGTGTGAAGAACTAGCAATACAGTAGATCTCAAGCTCAATGCTACCTATATCTCTGACATGTACACAACAGAGATACCAATTTCTCTTGACTGAAATAGGAATAGACACAAGTGAGCATGTAACAGAAACCCAATGAACATTCAAACCCAAAAACCCTTCCCTCTTTCAACAATACCACTTTTCCTCAGAGCAGTGTCCGGCTTTGCAGCCCTCACACAGTGACCTGATGTGGGGACCCTTACTCTCACCACCATACACCGGGGCCTCCATCTTGACTCCACTCCATTTCTTCAAGCGATACGCGACCCGCCCCGCGTACGAGTCATCCAGAATCGGCTGGCTGAGCCGCTTGCATTCCTGGCAGCGCTGGTGGTATACTCGTGCATTGTATTTGTCACCAGTATACATCCGAATGGTGATGGCGATCTTCTTGTTGGACCACCCAGTCGAACCGCATTCATCGTTGAGACAACTGAATCTGCCCATGATATTGGTGTCATAAGTGTGGGGCGCGAAGTCATCGCCCTTCGAGTGGAAGCGAAGATCTAGGTCGGATTCCTCCAAGAGGGCCGCCATTTCGGAGTGGAGGGACGGATACATTGACCATCGCTGTGTCGATTTGTGCTTTCTGGCTGGCATGATGAATGGGTTTCATGTCTTTGATGGTAATAGAGCGCGAGAGCAGAATTGACAAGCAATGCATGCCATGTCGGGTATTGTCATAGTTGCTCCTGTCGAGTGTTAAGGTGCCCCTCATATGACGCCGGCTGGGTCTGGGTCGCCATCACGATGGCGTAAGTTCCAGACCTACAAAGATTGAGCCTCTCTTTAGCCTCCCTTGGTTGTACCAGATCATGACATGCCTGGGTTTACCATTGCCTAGCAATCAATATGGCGGTCGCCTCGCTCGGTGTCTCCTGGGCCTGGTCTCGAGGCCTGGCAGACCCTGACCACCGACGACAATATCTGCGGTTTCATGAGGTTGGTTTGCTGTAAATATCCATCGGGATGTCACCTATCTTTGCTCTTAGTTCTGGCAACCTGGATGGTAATTGTTCTGAAATTACAGATGCCAGTCACCTGCGGTTGGCACCGCTGACTTCTTCTCGCGTAACCTTGATCGGCTTCCCGATCGGATAAATGGAGGATCCACCAGTGATTTCAAGGCAGACCAAATCAAGGCAAAGGGAAAAATAGATACGAATCCGCGGCTTACACGCGGATGGGTCCCAAATTCGGGGGCGAGTTCAGGTTCTTGCAAAGCGCTAGCTTTGCAACCCTACGAGGCATAAGCAAGGATTCTGACCGCTAATTTGCTGTACCAACAGCTCTTTTGTACCTTCTTATTGCCCAGAATAAGAGATAATTATATATCATTGACAGGATTTGAAATCCCTTGGAGAGAACCATCGGCTAGATTGACGTCTTGACAACTCTTCTGGCCAAGCGGTGCAATGCTCTCATCAAATATACTACAAATTTGTCCTCTGATTGATGGTTGAGTTTGTTCAAGTAAACTTACATTAGTTCAAGTCAGATGTAGCTGCTAAGTTGGTTTAAGCTTAACTTCTATACTTAACCGCTGTATATGACATGCGCTTCGTCGGCTTGCGGAGGGGGGCTGGAGATAATGCAAGACTCCCCAGCTGCAGATTGAAACTGTAGGTCTAAATCAATACACCTATGTTTGTATGGCAATAGTGTTAAGGAGAATACTTAGGATAGTGCTTAGAAATATGCTTAAAAGGGTGCTTAAAAAGATGCTTAACAAGATGCTTAGACAAGTGCAAGTACAGGCCCTGCTGGGCCTGCTAAAGACGCGTTGCAACAACCTGGCCAAGGGAGGAACCCGCAAGTCAGGCCCTTGTATATGAAATGCATCACTGGGGCTACCTGATTGTCCAGGAACAATAGGAGATTTAGGCTGCATGTATGGTTAAACCACAACCATTAATCAGATAGATATCTCCTAAATAGGGAACTTCAACTAAAAAATGAATAGTGTTATGTTTATGATGTTGAAAACATATCAAGAAATACAATGGTACTAGAATAAAGTGAGATTATCTGAAAGGATAAGATATTCAGAGAATAATAGGGCCTATTCAAGATTGATAAGACTTAAAATAGCAGGTCAGGTGGGTCCAATAACCATCCAGACAAATATAATCAGGTTTGATGAGCAAGTGGGATACAGCTATTAGCAGGCTGACCAGAGTGTTCAGGTATAAGTGAACAATGGGCTATAACAATAGACTAAAAATGGCATTTTGATCTAGATAAGATGAGGTTATCAGATAAGATCAGGATCAATCAAGATGGTAAGGTGGCCGAGTGGTTAAGGCGTTGGATTTAAGAGTGATGTTTATCACCTTGAAGTTCCCCAATGACGAGAGTCTCCAGGGTTCGAACCCCTGTCTTACCATTGTTTTTAGGGCTCACCGCCTTCTCTTTTTCTGCCGGCGGTATACCATCCCCGCCTGCTTTGCACCAAGACAGTTCAATTGAATGCTGATTGACACCGGCAGTAATTCCAATGCAGCCGGCGTTAAGCCTCTTCGAGAAGGCGGTAGGGTCTTTCCGGCTTTTCTCCGGACCCGGGCTTTTCTTCTCTGTAAACTCCATAGACTATAAAAATCTTTACAAAAAGAATTAAGAAGAGACTTTCTAATATAATTCTAATAACAATACCTTCGGCCCAAATAATCTAATAATCCTGGTGTAAAGAGTATACTAGTTAAGATACAAGTAACTATAATATAATCGCCGGTCATATAGATAAGACTGCTGGTCTCAATACTAGATTTCCTATGCTTAGGCCTAATCGAGTAATAGTTCACTGCGGATACCAGCCGCCATTCTCTATGCACAATCCTTACCCTCTTCAGCATATTGCTTCAAATTCTGCCGGCAGAATAAATCGACTTGCTTTAGGCATTACTGCCCTGCTTGTTTGGAATTGTACTTGGAAATGTGCTCGGAGAAATGCTTACAAAGGTGCTACAAAGATGCTTATATCCCTAATCAAGAATTCGCAAGTCATACAGTCAAGGCACTTTGAGCGGAACATTGTGTTCACAAACTAGCGGCAACTCTTTACACTAGCAGTAATAGAGAATATAAGTAGTATTGAAACTTAGACACAGTGATCTTCTTCGCTAGGGGGAAGCATAGCAGCCAGCTTATTCTGAGTATTTCTTACCACGGGGCTGCTCGGGCTCAGACCCGTCGCTAGACGACGCTCTTGAACGTTTTACTGTAGTAGGTGGAAAGATGTTGGAACATGAACCGTCATCCAGGATATAACCACCGTCTAGGAAGATTTTCAAATCGTCGTCAACCTTCTTATTCTCTGGGTTGATGTAAATGTGTCGTCTGCATCGGACTTTCAGATCGATCGTGGCACCGTCTAGCCAATCAACCAAGCTGTTTATCCTGAATATGGCACCCAAAGAATTTGTTGGCCATGTCGGATATATGGCTTGTTGTTCGTCGCTTTGACCGTTAGGTCAGCCATGCCCTGATTTCTGGTTCTGGTGAGCCCTCAAGTTGCAGTGAGTATCTGTGTCTTACACTAGGGGCAAGTGAGATCTCTTGCAGCAGAGGTGGGACGACGTTCAAGCTAGTTGCTGGGTATTTGGCCTTACCGAAGTACTCTTCCAGAATTCCTGGCGCCAGAGACTGGAAGCATCTGCACAAGAACATCTCCAAAATGTTCGCAAAGACCATCGGAATATGACAGCTAGTATGGTCCGGCCAAACCAGAGTCCATAGCTTAATGAAATTGATTGCCCGGTGTCCGTCCCCTTTTGCCACTATATGAAAGTGCAAGGTACTATCATCTCCCTTGATGATGGCCACGAGGTGCTGCAGGACCCGATTCTTCGGATTCTCCGATGGCCTACATAGGGGCGCCAATAATCTGCGTTACGGTCATCTGTGACAAAGCTTAGGTAGCCATTGTCACGGCCCCATTCCTCTGTCAAAGCCTATTTTTCACGGACTGTATGCAGCCTGCCTTTTGTCAGTACAAACTTATATTGCGCAAGGGTAGCCTTCTCTTACATCTCTGTAGTCACTATCTTGTTCTCGAACTGTATTATTGCCTGGTGAAGAGGGTTTGTCAAGATATCGACGCATTCATCTATTATCCCTATGGCCGAAATCGAATCCTTGTATGGAATATGACGAAGCTCTGGTCTTTCTTCTTCGGTAATGTTCCTTGCGGCCTTGATGACCGGCCAGGAGGATCTTGGTCGCGCAAATATTGATTTCCTCTGCGTTGTGGACATTTTGGGGCATGTCCTCTCAGTCCGCAACTTGGGCAGACAGGGCACTGTGAACAATCTCGAATGATATGTCCTTTTTCGTGGCAAAATCGACAAGGAAGTTCCGGACAAAGAAAGATTGTATGGCCTTCCGCAGCGCAGTTGTTGCAAAATGGTCCCTGTGGACTATACATGTTTGCTGACCTTGATGGTACTTCTTGCTGCGAGCAAACCTTCTGGATGCGGAGGAAGATGTCTATGAAGTGAGAGGTGAGGGTAAAGGAAGATGCAAGTAGATGGATGAGGATGGAAATGTGTTTGAAGTGAGAGGGAGAGAAGAAAGCTGGAAGTGGTTAGATGAGGGATGGAAGAATTTTCAAGTGAGGCGAGAGGAAGAAGAATTTCAAGTAAGAGGTGAGAGGAGAAAGGTAGATGGCAAGTTGATGTAGGGACCTTTGTACGACTAAAAGGATTCACTGGAGAAGAATCTCACGTATTTGGAAGGCACTACAAAGAACTTGAGTTTTACGATATATTGTACGTTATTAGAAGGAATTGAGTTGATGCTTGCTTCCAGCAGAGGCCAGATATTGATAACTCATAAGTGATGACGATGGTGTTCAAGATAAATCGTCACTTCTGGCATCCATGTAGGCGATTTGGATACTGATGATGTCCAGGGATGAGCAATAAAGAACCTTGGTCTTGCTGCTTGGAACAGAGTGATTTGCGTGTGAACTCGCTTGGTGAATCGCATCGAATCATGTGGTCAGTTTTCTCAGGCATCCATGATGCTGACAAGCCCTTCCTAATCCGTCATATGTGAAGCCAAAGCGCATTCCCAAAGCGGAAATAAACTCCAGTATCATCGTGCATCTGATCGTGCATCTCTCTTCTGTGGCAGAACAACTCTCGCTTGGGGTTTGTCACCCTCTTGGTGGCTCCTACCCATAGCGCCTGAGCGGTAATCTCTTGTTATTACGACTAAATCTGGTTAGAGCTACTGCATTACTTCTCGAGCAAACTCCATCAGTCTCTGATATCGTCGTGGTGAGGAAAGGACTCAAGGATCACACCGGATAAAGACTCCAATACCAAGCCGATAGTGACTTTATCTTTTCCCGGTTTTGCTCCCAACATCTTTGTCGTCACTTCGATCGGCTAGAGCCCGTTTGATGAAGATATCCCAAGCAAAGTACGGGGTTGAGCTCTGATACGAATATTCAAGGCGCCAGTTCTTGGAACCAGTGAGGATACACTGGGGCTTGGCCATCTCCGGGATCTTGGTAGGTAATGTCTTATATGACCCTTTAAGAAGAGCTTATGGAAACCGTTTTCACGAATATCACCGGCTGCATGCAGTAACATATGCTGACAAAATCACCGGCATGCACGTCAAACGGTGGGAGATTATCGGCCCAGCAGAGTTACCAGATTTGACAGTAATTACATCTTTGTCTTTCCATGTTGGCCGCGCAACAGTCACCGCTTGGGTGAACACCAAGAACTCCAGTTCGTCCTAAGGCAAAAGGGGATCGGGGTCCGAAGTGCCTCCGCGGATATCGCCGACAGACTTGCTTGGCTGTCACAATGTGCGTCGATCGTGAAGGTCCCTGCATCGAAACCGATCAACCACGACCCCCGTTCCTTTCCCACTTAGGGAAGGATTTCGGGGATAAAATCACATGCCCAGGCCAATCTTGCAATCTCCCCTTAATTAATCCACTGTATCGGCCGGATTGAGCCCGATGCCATTGGCCCATCGATGCTTACACCCCACTATGCCGTCAGAGTTTTCTACCCGATTCGGGTATAGAAGCTCCGGACTATCGATGCTAGCTTTCCGGGACTCCGAGAAGGTGGCGACCAGGGAAAAGGAAAAAGCCACAGCCGTGATGTTTTTTTCTTGTTTCTCTCGATCCCGACGTTGATCATAGTTATCTGCCGGGGGCCCTGGGTGGCGGGCGCAGGGAAAAGGTCTCCACACCACAGAAGGCAGCAGCCGGCCCGGTTGACTTTTCGACTGTGACGTCCTGTTGTCTCGCGTCACGGCTGTGTTGTCCAGCCTCGTTTAACACATCCACTCTTGGACTGTCTGGGCACTGCATGGGTAGAGAAAAAGGGGGAAGACATCCAGTGGATCCCCACTTGGCAGGCAGCAATGAGTCAAAAGGGCGCTAAATGCTTGACCTCATCTCGCATAACCACTTACTAAGTAGACTAAACTAGGTAATAACAGGTAATAACTGGTAACAACTGTGCTAACTAGGCTTCGCTAATGTTAGCCGCTGCTTGCGGCCTCCATAAAGGGCTTAGAGTCTGCAGCGTTTCTCAAGTCTAAACACTAACTTCTGGTGGGCTGCCAAGCGAGAGCCTCCGCCTTATCGTCCCACTCTGCAAAGTCAAATCGTCGAGAAAGGGTCGAAGGGTTCAAGTGCAAGGTTACATAGCCCCATAGCCAAGGCCTCTTATCACTCTTGTGGCTTAGTTTTGGTACTAGGTATACTTAGTGGGGACTCCAAGACTCAAGCGTGCCAGTTCCGGGACCGTTGGTGGAAGTCTAAGCGATCAACCAGGCGCAGGCGCACCCTTCAAAACCCCCCTGCATCCTCTGTATTGTGCCTCTACACCCTCCAGCTCGATCGACACCATCACCTACCCTGCCAGTCAACCCAGCAGTCGATCATGAGGAAGACTCTTCTCCTTTCGTTGGCCTGTCTAGCGCAATCAACTGGTGCTCTCACTCTGCACGAGCGCGCCCAGCCCGCTACAGTTCAGTATGATATCCATCGGCGACAGGGCCTGAGCCATGCTCGCCACAAACGATCAGCGCCGGAGACAGATATCGACAACGAAGTAAGCTCCCATGCTGGCTGGTGGAATGTTGATTTTCTAACAATCGCTCCAGGAAACGTACTATGCGATCACTTTGAACCTCGGCACCCCCTCACAGGCGGTGGAAGTGATTCTGGACACCGGCAGCAGCGACCTCTGGGTCAACGCAGGGAACTCGAGTTCCGACAACCCATATGGCGTCTTCGATTCATCCTCCTCCTCCACATTCAAGGTCGTCAACGATGAGTTCGCCATCATGTATGTGGACGGAAGCGGGGCCATCGGAGACTACGTGACCGACACCGTCGCCTTCGGGAATGTAACCCTAACCGACTTCCAGTTCGGTCTGGCTGAAGAGAGCAGTACCCAACGTGAGTAGCCCCTCTGCGACTGACCGACTCCTCTTCCTCTTCATTGTTTCCCCCCTCAACTGACCACGAAACCCACAGAGGGCGTATGTGGCATCGGATACGCCAGCAACGAGTACGCCGACCTCCGCAACGACGAGGGGTACGCGAATCTGCCGGAGGCCTTGGTGAACCAGGGCTACATCAAATCCGCGGCGTACAGCCTGTGGCTGGACGACATCGACGCGGGCGAGGGCACGATCCTGTTCGGCGGGATCAACACGGCCAAGTACGTCGGCAGTCTGCACACCTTGCCCATCCAGGCCGAACAAGGCGAGTACTCGGAGCTGGCCGTCAACCTGAGCGGCGTGCACGTCACCAAAGCCGGAAAATCGATCAGCGTCAACAACACCGCCTTCCCCGCCGTCAGCGTTCTGGACAGCGGCACCTCGCTGACCTACCTCCCCACGGGCACCGCCCTGGACATCATCGACGCCGTGGGCGGCGAGTACTACGAGAGCCAGGGCTTGGCCGTCCTGAAGTGCGACACCGCCAAGAAGAGCGACTACGAGATCGTCTTCGCCTTCTCCGGCTTCAACCTCTCCATCCCCCTGAGCGACATGCTCCTGGAAGCCAGCTTCGGGTACTGTGCCTTCGGCATCGCCCCGGAAAGCGAGACCGCCAGCGGCGGCATCTATCTGCTGGGCGATACCTTCCTGCGCAGCGCCTACGTCGTCTACGACCTCGCTAACAACGAGATTCACCTCGCCAAGACCAACACCAACCCGGGGCCTGACCATGTCCTGGAGATCGGGACGGGAGCCACTGCCGTGCCCCAGGTGACGGGGACGTCGAACACGCAGACTGCGAGCGCCGCGACCGCGACCGCGACGGGGAAGAGCGGTAGCGGCAGTGGGAGCAGTGGCAAGGGCAGTGGGAGTGACGGTGACAGTGACACCGACGATAAGAAGGAGAACTGGGCCCCTGCATTGCGCACTGACTTCGCGTCTCTCGTGGTGGGTGTGTCCTTCGTGGCCCTGCTCTTGGCATTGTAGATGCTCGGTTTCCGTTAAAATGGAAGCACTGTTGTATATATTGTTCATATGTATTAATGATGATGAGCCGTATCAACTTGTATATATGCAAAACCGACTCCAAATATGATCGCAAAGGCCTACCACCGCAGATCTGTTCGATGTCTTGGTTTTCCTCGTCTATTGTCCAAGCTGCAATGTATGCCATAATACGCATGTAGCATACTGCGTTCGACAGGCTAGGAAACCGACGTCTAATGCGCGTTCATTTGATCGCTTCTACGAACAGGCTATTAAGACTTAGGTCCGGCTGTTTCCATCTGGCCCCTGTGCGGACGATCTCCGAGCCGCGGTTCGCGGGTGAAGGCACCATGAACTTTCCCGTCCTATGCACCCCTTTCAACCAACCTTATGGCGACTGTAACCGAGGCCAGGTGGTTTCTATTTGCTCTTTCTCGAGAAGTGCATAGTCAAATGAGCTTGAGGTATAGTACACCATTATTACGAATGTTGCCATCTTTCCTCCATTCCTGTACCGTGGGGGTGGCTAGTGAAGCTTTAAGGAGGCCGAGGGCAACCAAACATCCGTCTCAGAAAACAATCTGCGAGTCTTTATATTTACTGCATGGTTGAATACCTTTGGTTCTGATGGAAGTGTGTCCCTTATCAGCAACAGGCTTCCAGAAGTCAGAAGCATCCCTCACGGTCGGATTGAAAGGCAAGATGAGCGGCGAGGAAATACCTACACATATCAACCAATCCACAGGTTTGCACTTCGCCCGCGGACAGCTCCACGAAGGCAAAGGAGAAACCCGAGGCCACTAGAGCCTTTGGAGAAGAATGTACCACAGTGTACCTTTAGTTAGTGTACGCTATCTGTAGATAAGCCTAGCCCTCCCCCGCACTGCAGGTCCGAAAAAGCAGGTTAGTGCAGCCGCCGCCCGCGATAACGGCCACCATCCTATAAATCGCCCATTGTCGCGCTGAACAGACCATGGCAACATCCAAGCACAATCTATCTTCACAGCCATGCATTTCAAACGCACCATCAGCATCGTGGACTGCCACTGCGCCGGGGAGGTCGGCGACGTGATCGTGGGCGGCGTGCTGGACCCGCCCGGCTGCAGCAGCATGTACGAGAAGCTGGCGCATTTCCGCGACCGCGAGGACCACATCCGCCAGCTGCTGCTGAACGAGCCCCGCGGCCGGCCGGCCATGTGCATGAACCTCGTCCTGCCACCGTGCAACCCCGAGGCCGACGCGGGGTTCCTCATCATGGAGAGCGAGGAGTACCCGCCCATGTCCGGCGGCAACATCATCTGCACCACCACCGTGCTGCTGGACACGGGCATGGTGGCGATGCACGAGCCCGTCACAGAGCTTCTGCTGGATACCGCGGCTGGCCCCGTGGCGGTCACCGCCGACTGCGCGAATGGGAAATGCACCGCCGTCGCGTTCCATAACGTGCCTTCCTTTGTCTTTGCGCTGGATCTCCCCGTCCAAGTCCCGGGGCTGGGGACGGTGTCTGTGGATATTGCCTGGGGTGGGATGACCTATGCCATTGTCGATGCGACGAAGATTGCCGGGGGGTTGAAGATTGAGAATCGCAATGGGCCGAAGTTGATTGAGGTTGGGGAGCGCATCAAGCAGGCTGTGCAGCAGAGTGACTTCGTGCCCGTGCACCCGGACAACCCGCAGATTCGAGGGGTCAGTATTCTGGAGTTCACTGAGCCCTTGACTGGGTCTGCTTCAACGGGTGATTTGACGGCTGTGAATACGGTCGTGGTGTCGCCGGGTCGATTTGATCGGTGTCCCTGTGGAACGGGGAGCTCAGCGCGCATGGCGGTGATGCATGCGCGGGGTCAGCTGCAAGCTGGGGAGAAGTTTCAGCACCGCAGCATTATCGGCAGTAGCTTTGAGTGCTGGATTGAGGGGACCACGCGGGTGGGCCAGTACGAGGCGGTGCTTCCGGTCGTCAAGGGCAGTGCGTGGATCACCGGGTTTCGCCAGGTGGGGTTGGATCCTACCGACCCGTTTCCGGTGGGCTTCAGAGTCGGAGACCAGTGGCATGTAGCGGATGATGCTGGAATATCTTGAGGACTGATAGTGAATGGTGGGATCGGATATTGAGGGTTAGTCTATCCGGAGTGAGGATTACCCCGCAATGCAATGCGGGGTACGGAGTATACCGTGTGAATATCAATGCTAGTCCTTCAGCTTGAGATCTTGAAATCTTGCATAAACCGAGCTTTGAACCCCAAATCACACTTGCACTTTTTACTACTGTTCTATATTGGTACCATTGAGAACAAACTCATCACATGATTTGAGAGATCACAGATCCAGCAACCGGGCACCAAGACTTGGTGCAACAGGTGAGGTAAGTAGGTTACACAAGGACTAAGGACGAATTCTAATACTTTCTACTCCAATTCGATAAAGTCGGCCGCTTACAGGATGAAGAAAGAATAGACAAGCAGCGAACATGTCCTGATCGAATATATCCGTGGCTTGGGCCCAGTGGTTGTATACCTTGTGATCACCTTCGTCCTAAAACACCCAACTTGAAAATGAATGTGCAAAAGAAGAATGGAATAGGAAGAGGGCGGGAAAAAGAGAGGAAGAGAAGCAGTACAACAAACAACAAGAGAGATGATATGCTTGAGTTCAATGGCAATACGGGGATTGCCTCATGTGGTGAATTCCAGGCAATCTGGGAAAGATCTACCTAACCGATGGAACCACCTTATCCACAGCCTGCTAGTGGAGCGCAGTTCCACTGAGCCACTGTACACGCGGCAGCTGAGGCGGTGAGCTCCCATGGCCAGTCAGACACTAGGGGTCACTCAGTGGCTGGCTGGCTGAACACAAACGAAATCAGCCACAGCACTGCGGTGTTTATCTATACCCCTCAGCATCTCTCTTGATCCATTTCTTCCTCAACACACATCCAAACCTACATCCAGCACATCAGATCATACTTCCTACACAGTCGAACTATCAGCTAAGCTCCAAGATGCCCGTCACAATCCGCACCGCAGACCACAGCACCCGACAATGGCACAGAGAGCGCGTGACGAGCGACGACATCCTCTTTGAGCAGTCCTGCTACGAAGAACACAACAACAGCCAGCGCATCATCCGAAGTAGTTTCTCCCACCCTTTAGAGAGCAACCACGTCACCGGTGCAAGCAACGGCTTCGTCGATGCCCTCTTCTTCGCCTACTGCCACCACCACGACTTCACCGTCCGTCCCGAAGACATCTGGTTCGCGATCCTCAGCCAAGTCTCCTTCTACATCAACGCGAACGCCGAGAAGCTCCGCGCACACTTCGTCGCCCACGATGGCCGCAAGGAGCTCAGGGTGTACGCTAATGGGACCCTGGAGACGGTCGACTTCGGCGCGATTGCGCTCGCCCTGTCGACTGCGATCCAGAATAACGTGGTGGACCCGGACCTGCGCGCCTGGGTCATGCCCGAGTTCAGCACCACCACCGAGAACGACCGCGTCGTGGCAGCGATTCTGCTGATGGGGAGCATGCAGAAGTACTTCAGCTTCTCGGCCTTCCTGCTCTGCGGCATCCCCACCGTGACCATGCTCGGCGAGCGGCGGGACTGGGAGATGCTGGTGGGGAAGCTGGACCGGCTGCCCGCGTTGGGGGATGAGCCGGCGCGGTTCGCGGCGCTGCTCCGTCCGGTGCTGACCCGGTTCGTGGCCTGCTTTGACGATCCCACGGGCCCCGCGGCGCGGGAGTTCTGGGGTCGGTGCGTGCATCGGCTCATTCCGGGAAGTGGGGAGGACTTTCTGTCGGGTTGGATCACGGCGTTTTGCTTCTGGAATGCGCAGGGCCAGTTGATCCCCGACACGGGCTTGCATGAGGGGACGATCAAGTGTGAGCTGGACGGCGTACGGTATCCATACATCAACACGTCGGCTACCCCCCCGGGTTTCTCCTCGGTGCCGCTGCATGTCAATGATAATGGGGTGGACTATGAGACGATGATGGTGGCGGGGATGATCGGGATTGATGCCAAATCGAGTGGTCGGCTACTGGAGGAGCCCTTTGGTGACGAGACTATGGGCTTGGACTCTCTACAACCCGTTGCGGGCTGGGTGATGTATCACAAGAAAGATAAGTCTGAGGTGGGGAAGGATTCTCAAGACAAATTGTGCGATTTTCAACCTAGCTAGTTTACCTTTCCAAGACCTTGATTTTGCTACCTTCACAATACTCTATCCCTTCTATGTCACGGGCCCATTTGCCTGTCTTGGGTTTCCTACAACTCATTTCTTTTCTTATTCTCTCATGACAGAACCTCCTAGCGATAGCAATGTTTGTTAAATTGTCAAATTAAATTCGTTACTGTGTCCACTGGGATCTCCCTTATGTATATGGGCCTGCCAATGCGGGAATCGCTGGTAAGTGTTTAGCATGGCCAAGGACTCAAACTTCAAAGCGTCGAGAGACGGTAAAGTGCTTTTAAGTAGGCTAGTCATATGAACACAATGTGACCTATCGTCTGAACAGCATTCCTCTGGCTCAACTACCTTTACTATTCCATATCACCAGACGGCCGAACGAGCCAGTGCCCCAATCAAGAAACGTCTTGTCAACAGGGTCCGGCTTGCCTTGGCGACGGCCTTCGACCTATGTAGGCTACGATTCATCTCTATGTGCTTGAAGGTGGGTGACAAGTGTAGGACAAACTGAGGCAAAAAGGATGGCTGGTGAGTTGATTGCCTAGGTGGTGGACTGGTGTGCCAAAAATAAAAATGATGTTAGGGTGTTGGCAAGAACGGGGTTCGAACCCGCGCCTTCTTTCGAAGATCAGAGGTCAATTTCTTAAATCTGACGCCTTAAACCACTCGGCCATCTTGCCACTCAAATTGAACTTGAATCGCTTAATCTAGTTATCAATAAGGATTGCCTGAGCTCGTACGTTCTTTTCGCAGAACTGACCATGTGTATACCGTGGTACTGTGCTTCGGAAAGCTCTCTCTCTCTGCCTTTTCTTTTCCCCCTTAAACCCTCGAGCTTTCAAGGAGGGATCAAGTTTGTGTAACCTCTCTAGCATACACCATCGACACGGGCGGCTGTATCTGCGATGGTCATCATGGTTCAGTGGAGCCCCAATACTCTTCCAGGCTAAGGGGTCTCTGTTCCAAATTACTTTCGGGTGATGAGAAGAGAATTGGACCCTGGGGAACAATATCCCCCGGCTTTAGCGCCCTTCTTCATGCCCCACGGCTGTAGTGAGAGTCGTATGTTGGGCCGGATTTGGGAGGTGGAGAAACTCCACGTTGATTAAGGGGCTTGGTTCTTAAGTATTTCAAATGAAGTGCAATCAAAACCACGTTTTTGACGCACAAAACAAAGGGACCAGAGCCTCAAACCCCCTTGCGAACAATGAGTCCATTGGCCAGAACTCTCTATTATATACAAATCAATCGCCGCTTATCCAGTAATGTACCAAAGCAGCCCCACTACCCCCTCAAGCGAAATGCTAGCAGTTTAGATAGCATGATCGCAGTCGAAAAGCACGGTTCGAGCCATGAGCAGAACAAATTCCTTCATCCTTTCGGGTTTCACCGACCTCGGCTGCAGCGTATGGCCTGAGTCTAGTCACGCTTGCAGACAAGACCTCCCATCTCGCAAGTGCGGCGATTTACCGCTGCTAGGAGCAGGTATATAGTCTGCGCGGTCGCCGCATCCGCATCCAAAAGGTACTTTCCTCTTCAAGCTCTTTCTTGCCCGTCAGTTGACATGCTTGGTCTAAAGAGTGTCGCAACTCTCGCCACAGCGGCAAAGCTCTTGCACAAGGCTGCCGCCAGAGCAGTCTTTGCACATTACATGGTGAGTATAGAGTCTGAGTCATGGTGAATGAACCCATGGATGATTGGAACTTTGTATCGTAGGTTGGTACGGTGACGCAGGAACACGCACAAAAGGACATCGATGATGCCAAGGCCCTCGGGTGAGTCTCCTGAATCCGCTCGATCTTCCCATCACGGTTCGCTGACAGACATATAGGTTCGATGGTTTCGCCCTCAACATTGGGGATGCAACCCAAGACTTTGTGTCGGACACGCTATCGTACATGTTTCCGTATGCAGAGTCCGTCGGGTTCAAACTCTACGTCAGCATGGATGTCTATGCTTCCGGCGATGCTTGCTACAAGAAGAAGACGTCCTGCAACGGGGTAACGTATTCTCCGCCATAGTATATTCTCCGGACACAGGGCTAACTTGAGCAGCCTTTTGACTACCAATGGGTCTGGGACGGCTACAAAGGCAGCTCTGCCTACTACCAGATTGACGGGAAGGCTCTGATCAGCAGTGAGTACCTGGGGCTTATTCTCTAACTTGAGACGTTCGTTACTAAGCGGCTGATGTGCAGCATTCTCTTCTGGTGGATTCCACAACACGAACTGGACAGGTGGGTCTTTCCACCTCCCATCGTGGGTTTCTACGGCGGGCTAATCTGGCTGCATCCAGAATGGAAGAACGGACTTGCGAACGACATGTTCTTCATGCCGGACTTTGACGAGACGGACGGTTACTACGAGGCTGCTGATGCTTGGTGGTAAGTTCCCCTGCTGCCGAAAGTCGTATTCGTGTAGTGAGTGTCATAGGGACTACTGGGGTGATGTCGTAGACGGTATCTTCAGCTGGGAGACCTCCTGGCCCGAGAGGAAAGGCTTTGGTGGCTTATATGCTGGAGACGTCAGTGTGGATGTCTTGCCTATGGCTGGAGCCCACAATCGCAGCAAGCCATATATGATGGGTAAGTTGATACTGCTGTACTGGGCGTGAAGACGCCCTGCTAACGGAACTAGGTCTGAGTCCTCTTCAGTATAAAAATGCAGTGAGCGATTCAGGGGCTATCATTGGCGAAAATTCCATGCTAACTTCAACATCAGTACGGTGCAAATGTCTACCGGCAAGGTGATTTAAACCTTGTTAAGCGCATGGATAACATCCTAAATATGAACCCGCAGCCTGATTATGTTCAGTTCATCACCTGGGTATGAGACTCTGTCTACTAAGTTTTGCAAGACGTGATAGCTGACAAGTGCAGAATGACGGGCCCGAAAGCCACTACATCGGAAATCTGTGGACCGAGCAGAACAACGACACTCAGCCGTGGTTCTACGCAAATCAAGAATTCTGGTCTCACACGGCCTGGCAGCCTCTTGTGGCATCGTTTGTCGAAGCATACAAGAATGGAAAGAAGTCTACCGAGATGACACCACAGACTGGACAGGTGGCTGGAGCCATGTGGTATAAGACCATTCTTGTTGATTCAGTGGACTGTGGTTATGAGTCAGCAGGTCAATACTACGAAAAGCCCGACGGGTTCGCAGCTGGAGTCGACGACGTCTGGTGGTCGGTCATTCTGAGTCCTGACGCTGGTACGGGTTGGAAATACAAGATCAGTGGCGAGGTGGACCATGAGGGCGTACTTCACGCGGGACTCAACTGGGGCAACAGCGCGAACAAAGTATCCGGAGCCCAGCTCCTCCAAGTGATTAACCCCTCCGGGGAGGTGGTCATGTCCGCCACCGGAGGGCTCTGTGTTGATACCGGGTGTCCAAACCTCATCTACAACTCCAACTATCAGGTCATACCCCTGGAGAACGGGAGCAAGACTAAGCAGTGTACCGCCATCTCCAAGGCTGAAGACACCACCTGCAGCGGTAGCAGTTGCAAGAGCACGGTTTTCGATGGAAATGGCCCCTCGGCCTGGCGCAACGTCGACTGCACTTGGTATACAGTTGAGAATGCGTCCTATGATGCAGCAACCCGCTGGAACACAATCTTCACCGAGTCTGCGTGGACTGACCTGAATCAATACTGGTTGAGTCACCCGCACGAGGGAGGACTGAACTACACCAACGAGGTTCGTTTTATGTTCTTGTCAAAGATTCTTGTGAGCTAAGCCTGTATCCAGATCAGCAACCTAGTCCACGGCCCTGAGCACATGGACTGTTCAAAGATGGCAGATAGCGTGGGCTGCGACAGTTTCATCCAATGTGACGATGTGAACCATCCAGCGGGCTACTTCCTCCTCAATGGTTACGTGTCTATCCACAATGTACGTTGTACACAGACCTTTTCTATTATGAGAAATCTCATCGCCTGACCATGCCATGAAGTTCTTCTGGAACACACACACTGCACTCACAAGAGTTCAAGCTTCTGTGACTAATCAAATCGGAGATCTGACGACAACGTTTGCCGAGTTCCCCTCCTCAACCCTCACCGACAACCTTGTCATGGACTTCCTTGGCCTCGGATTTGCGCTGTTCACCAGTCCTATCTTCAACTATGGTAAACCTTGCGTTCGTCTATATGGGGGTGAGGGCTTGTTTCAGCTGACCACTTCTCTATAGCACTAACCAAAATACCATACTATTCGGAGAACCCCCTTCAGCTGAGCAACCTCAAGGACACTACCAATGCATTAATAGCGAATGGAGTCACTATCATCAAAGATGTCATTGCTACCGAGTGAGTGGCATAAATCCAACCCGGAGGACTCAAAGACTGACTGCGTTCTAGCTCCACACCCCTGGAACTCGGAGTCGAGAACACGCTCGAGAAAAGACTAGACAGTAAGAACACTCTAAAAACGGGCACACGCCCACTATATATGCACCCACGACCTAACACTTTCCGTAGCGATCGTCCAGCTCTGGTACAGCACCATCGACAGCATGAACGAAAGCCTGTTCAACGGGACCTCTAACAGCATTGATATTCTGCACGACCTGATGACCGACGGCAAGCTGCTGGAAACCAGCTTCGACACACCCAGCGACTCGGACATTGCTGCAATGGTGGAGAAGGCCGTATTTGGTTTGCTGATTCCGCTGACTTGGACTCTGTCGCCGGACACTCATAATGCCGTGTAAGTTGAGTCCTCTTGTCAATAACCCAATGCAGAGGGGATACTGACTACCCATGTCTTTTATAAGGGTGGTTGATTCACAGTCGACATGCGACAAATCCAGCCCACTCTCCTCTTATATCTCCAGCAGCGTAGCCAAGTCGGGATACGTGTGCTACAACGACAACATCTACTATCTCGTGGATGTTGTGAGCCTCGATCGGTACTGTCAGTCGAACTCGCAGGGCGGTCAGCTCTGTCGCGATCCGACTGTCAAAAAACTTCCGGGGATCGGGAAGTTGGATGGAAGCAGCTGGGGTGGGGTCACCGTTGAGGATTTGGTTGTGGGGTATGTATTTCTTGTTTGCCTACTCGAGGCCCATCACAATTGTACTGACAAAGAGATCGCCATAGTGCCGTGAATACGTGGACGCAGATGGGCAACACATCCAGCTTCCTTGACCCAAGCGATATCGGCGCC